TTGTGAGTTCCTGGTGTGTAGAGCGATCTTTGCTTTGTATTCCATTATGTGGTTGTGTACTCTTTTCTTCATATAGGTTTAGGGAGGTTTTTAATAAGATATACAACTTACTTAGGTTTAAGTATTATTAATAAATTACTTTAATGAATAAAAAAGAACTTAAGATATATACACTTTAATTTAACGACATTTTAACGCTTATGACACATGTAATATGATTGATCATTTGATTTTATGTTATATTTTATACTAATATTGTATATTTTACATGTATGATCACAGTTATAAATTTTAATCCATGATAGCCCTAAGAGCTATCACAAACGTACCAAATGCGAGGAGGGAGACAATGTACCTGTCATAAAAATCGGTGAGGCTGAATTTCAATTGTATATTATAGAATGACATGATGCACAAAGCTTGATATGGAGGGACTGATCGAGGGAGCAGCGGGTAAAGGTGGTCATTTGGACTAAATTTTTTAAATTCTTTTATATTTTTAAATTATTTTTTATTGTTTAAAATTTTATAATTGTGTGGCAATTAAAAAATTATAATTTTGCTCTCTTTAACGTCAAATACAACATCTATAAACAGAGACGGAGCCAGGATTCTAGTTCAAAAGGAGTAAAGTATAATCAACAATAAAAAATAGGGGACAAAGTATAATTCATAATAAAAGGGTGGGAAATAAAATAAATCAAAACTTGAAGGATTAAATTTGAACACCACCACACGTGATAAATTTGAACAACACTTATCTACGTCACTAAGATCTAATAATATAGATCTATTTTACATGTGATAAATTTGACAGTTTTGCATTGCACGTGATCACGCGTTCATTTGCATGAGTGAATGAGAATGAACTATCCAATAGAGAATAAAGATTTGTTTATTAGTGTCCAACAAGCTCGTCCATCTATAAGTTTCATATGTGATGCGTCGTATGGTCTCAAAATCTAGAGATCTTAAAATTTAAAAAAATCACGATTTTATTTCTAAGAACGTTTGGAGGATTACACCTTTTAAATAAAAATATCATAATTATAGAGTTGTTTTTTTGACATTGTCTTAGTTTCATATATTTGTAAATTTTTGTTTTATAAAAAATAATCATAATATGGTAATATTTTACAATTTCATCTTATTATAAAATATTTTATAATCTTATTTTAAAAACTAACACATGAAATGTTAATCTGTTCAAAACGAACCTAAAGTCCAATCAAATGTGCATTGGGCTAGACACATTGAATTCTCGTCAAAATTCACCTATTAAATTATAATTTATAAGTTTAAACGTGAGAATAAATAATCATGAATTTTAAATACAAATAATAAATAGTAAAAATTAACTATAAATATCTATTAAATTAATGTGTTTCCTCGCGATAATTGTGGCCTCTCGGGAAAATTGATGAATGCGTGTTTGAGGCATTTGCTAGTACTAGTACATTTGGGAATTTAATACAACTAGAAATTTTTTTGAACAATGGAAACTAAATTTTATTAATAGTGGAAGGAATCAAAATTACAACACATCAAAATATAGGAGTGGAGAGCGAATCACATAATCTGACAGTTTGTTTCGCTACACAATCTGATTACATCGGCTAACAACATTTTTCTAAAAGAGGAGATCTAACTAAACATAACCATCGACTATTCAATCAAAAAATAAATGTCGTGATGGTTTTTATGCGAGAACCAAAACAACCGCAAAGGTATTAAAAAACGTACCAACAACCATGAGGATCATGCCACAAGAACAGAAAAAACGTGTGCCATAAAAGCAGAGAAAAATCATCTCACAAATATAGAAAATCTTATTCAAAATTAAAAATACTCAAGCAAAAAAGATAAAAGACATAATATATATAAAAGAGAACTAATAATTACTGTCGACCGACAACCAACCATAAGATTAATGTCACATCCAGTTAAATAAAAATAAAAGAGAATACAATTAGATTTTTTTTTATTCAACATCATATCTTTCTTATTCTAATAGTTAGGAAATTTCAGTTACACCTATGAATAACAGCGGATCCAAATTTACAATTGTGCCTAAAAATACAAATATATTTTCACCCGCAAATTATTTAAATAGTATTATTCAAATATAAATTATGCATATTGTTATTCAAATTTAAATTAAATAATAGTATATAATGGATATTTAAATATATAATATTTTAATTTAAAATTTTGAATCACATGTCATATATTTAAATTTATACAAATCCCATGAATGATGAAGATTTAAATCTTTTTAAGAGTAAATATTTTTTAAAATAGTTTGGGACGATTACAAAGATAGATAAATTGTTTAATTTTTTTAATCATTTATAACACACGCACTTACAGATATAATCACTCTGATTTATGACCTCAAAAGAAAATAATACTCTATTTAATAATTAAGTCCACTTGATGAGTTCAAAATAAATAATTTCTTCTGATTTAAAATAATTCCAAAAGAAGATAGATTAACTCTTCCAATTGGCTTATACATCCAAGCTTTGGAAAATAAGATCAGAACATCAACAGACTTGCAATGACTTTGTAGATGGGTTCCAGGTGTTATTTGATAGACATGTCTTTTAGAGTTACGACCTATTGTCTCTTAGCTTTCCAACGGTTCTTTAATCGCATTAATCTGATATAAATAACTCGAGATACGTCCATTTTAGTGAAAACATCACATATAGAAATTCATATACGAGATTAATACGTGATTTTATAAATATTACAAATTTTTAATATTTTTATTGATTATGTGTAATATAATTTAAAATAGGATGATGCATTATCTTTTAGGATTATTATTTCATTAGGAATTAGAAATTAGGATAGAATCAAAAACATTATATTTAGTTTATTATTATTTTATTTAGTAGTTACTTAGATTCATGGAACTCCTCATCCTATATAAAGGAGGCTCCATTCACCATTGTAAATCAATTTTTTTTATTAATAATTTAACTAGTGTTCATTTTTACAAGTGTTGATCGTATTGTGCCTTTGAAGCATTCTTCATCATCAAGTTCTTTCAAGTTCTTCGTGAGAGATTTTCACTCTCCAATTTACCTTTTCATTGTGATTAGGAGGGCTAGTTAAAGTCGACTATTGAGTTTTCCTACTTAATTGCGATTAGGAATGTGTGTAGGACAACTATCCATCGACTATTATCGCCATCTTCATCATACAACATCATCCATGCCACCTTCTCCACCAAACTAGGGTTTGCGTTAACTATCATACTTATCGAGGGAAATTTTCAATTTTAGTTTTTACTAGATTCGTTTATCTTTTCACAATTCCTTTTACATATCTTTAATTTATAGTTTATTATCTTTCTAGCGAGTATTTGTTTGCTTGATTCTGTGTAAGGAATAATTTTGCCAAAAGATGTAATTTGATTAAGTTATTCTTATCTTATTACATTCGTTGTCTTCGTTTTATTTCATTATCTCTATCCTATCTTTATTGTCTTCATCTTACTTCTTTTGTCCAATTTTCTAGCAACCTAAACTCTCTTTAACCTCGGCGACATCATACAATCTCGTCCTTTTATTCTTTAATCGAGTGTAGAGTTTTATAGGTTTGACTCTTTAAAAAAGAGCAACTTTCATCACTCTGTTGTCATTCTCTGTAAGATATTATAAAAATAATAGTTTATCTCAAACTTTTATTTTTTTTATCAAATGACCCAAATGTAATAAAAATAACATTATTTTATTCTTATTAAAACATCAACATCAATTATTTCAGCATCTTTATCATGTTATATATATAAAGTTGATATCAATATTTTAGTAAGGATATATTAATTATTTTTTCTTTAAGAAAATTTATGTTTTGGCAAAAATAGACAAAATAATTTATATCAGCTCAAAGGTGTTGTACTGTTTTGTCACATTCGTGTTAATTTGAAAAAGAAAATTGAGGTTAAAAAAGAATGCAATAAAAACGTAAGGGTTATACTAACGATGGTCTAGTATGATGAGGCACTGGATTGGAAGGATCGTCTTTGCCTCTGCAATACCGATCTGAATTTATCGGTCAATAACAAAAAAATGATTCAATCAAAATCCTTGGATGATTTATGATTTATATGTTTAAAAAATCGTGATAACTTAAATTTAATCAAAATTTATTTTTATAATGTAAAAAAGTATTTATATTTAAAGCAATAAAAATAACTCAAACGTATTATATAAGAATTACTGTTTATTTTTATTTAATTAAAAAAATTTAAGAAAATTTTTAAAATTTTATTGCATAATATCAATAAATGATAAATTTAAAACTATTTTTGTTAAAGTAAAATTAAAAAAATAAAATCTAAATAAAAATAGAAAATGAAAATAAATAAAATTAATCAAACTGAATTTTCATAAATAGTTCAACTTTTTTAAAATTAAATTCAATAATAAAAATTTTAGAGAGAAAGAGAAAAATCAAATAAAATGAATTCTCTAAAACTGGCATAACATTAATGGAAAAAAATAAAAAATAAAAAAAGCCAAATCAACGTTGTTTTATTTTACATAAAAATGAAAAAAATAAAGAAAATAAGAATAATAATGAACTTTCATTAATTTGCTAGTAAATCATTAATATATATATAATTTTACACATATTTAGGACCGTTGGATGAGTGAAAATAGATGGTTCAAATTGACAAAAGAATACGTAAAGATATTCACTTGAAAAAATAACAAGAAGTCAATCTTAACTATCTATTTTCACTCATTAAGCAGTCTCAAATCTGAATAAAACTAAAAACTTTTACATTATACTAACCCATATGTATATTACCCATATATATTATGTGGTGAAGCACATATAGGGGCATGGGATGGGGTAGGAGAATTTTGTTAATTCCACTGTTATACTTACATTACATTGCCATAGGCACTGTCAAACAAACAAATAAGAATTTTCAAAAAGAAAAGAGAATCAGCTCAAAATTTTGAAGTAATCATTCAAGATATCCTATAGATATATGATAATATTTACACAAATCCCATTTACCATTCAATGTGCATATATATATATATATATGCCTGGAAATTTAGAAACTTGGTGTTGTGTTTGTAGTAGAACTGCCATTGCTAACCCATTTTATCATCACAGAATCTGGAGAACGAGGCATCGGTCCACTCTTCAACAGCCCACCTTCCTCCTCCGCCGTAAACATATCCATTTCTACGGCTTTTCCTTTCTTGTAATCCTCATTCTTTATCCCCATCAATGCCTCAACCACTTGTGCCATCGTCGGCCTCATGTCCTTCTCGTCTTGCAGGCACCAAAACGCCACCTCCGCCACTCCGGCTATAGCATTCCTAACCTTGTTGTTCGTTTCGAACCCGAGGGATGGATCCACCAGATCATGCAATGCTCCATTTTGGATCTTGTTGATCGCCATGTTCCACAAGTTGATCTCGTGGCGGTGCCTTGTGATGTCGACCGCTGGTTTCGATGATATTAGCTCAATTAGTACGACCCCGAAGCTGAATACGTCGCTCTTGCTAGTAAGCTGGTAGCACTGGTGGTATTCAGGGTCGACGTAACCGGGAGTCCCTTGTGGAGCGGTGGAAACATGTGTGACATCGGACGGAAAGAGTCGGGACAGTCCGAAATCCGCGACCTTGACATGAAAATCCTTGTCGAGGAGGATGTTGTTGGTTTTGACATCACGGTGGATGGTTTCAGAAGCATGGAGATACATCAATGCATCTGCAGTCTCTATGGCAATCTCCAACCGGATGTTCCAAGAGAGTGCCCCTGGTTTGGCAAGGTCACCATGAAGATGGTCTGCAACGGTGCCATTCGGTATATATTCGTATACGAGCAAGAGTTCCCGACTGTGCCTCGACGTACTTCCGTAAAGTGAGACGAGATTTTGATGGCGCAACCGAGTTAGGATCCCAACTTCGTTCATGAATTGCTCAACTCTCTTGTAGTTGTTTTCGTACAATCGTTTAACAGCAACAGCTCGACCGTCTCGAAGTTTGCCTAGTGAAGAAAGTCGGAAATGAAAATCGATAGACCTATCGACAAACCGATGATTCAAGAATATAGTGTTTCTTACCATAATATACAGTTCCAAAGCCTCCATCACCAAGTTCCCTATCGGAATCGAAATTGTTGGTAGCTTCTTCAAGTTCCTTATAAGTGAATACATGGACGCAAGCAAAGCTATCACCCTTCTCAGAATCGACTACCGAAGAGTGGTCCAAAGAGCTCTTGCTGGTAAGGAAATATGATTTGAAGATCCCTTTACCGCGGCGATGTCGTAGCCAGAAACAGAAGATGACGCACGTGATTAGTATTCCTCCGGCAGCGGCACCGAAACCTGCATATGTTACATCGAATCTTCATTTCAATTCCGTAAAAAAAATGCATGAAGCAACCGTCTAAGAATGAAACAGAGGAGGATCAGGGGATCATATTACCGATGAGCAGCTTTGTTTGCAAGCTAAAACCCTTACCTGAAATACAAAAATATATGAAGTTATATATATATATTAAACTTGCTATGAAGTGAATGGCAACTGCCGAAGCAATAGTGCAAATGAAAGATAACTGATAACTTGCCTCTCGAGTAAAACCGATTCAGGAAAGCTAAAATGAAAAAAATAACAAAAAAAAAATATGAAGAAGTCATGGAAGGAAGAATTGGTAGAGTTAGAATGTATGCCCTATGCAGTTACCGTCGTTGCAGGTCTTAGGATGAGGTCCGTCCGAGCAAAAGCAAACGAATTCATCAGTATTACCGAAACCGCAGCGGCCTCCACTTCTCTTACAGTTGCTGCAACTATGTGCAATCCAGTTCAAAACGAACCCCAACTTCAAAACGTCGGTATAATTCATTCGTAATAAGCTAACGAAACTAACACCGTCGTTGACGTACACGGGGGATTCGATCAGAGTTTGGCATGACTCGATCGAGTAATTAGTATTCTCCAAAGCTTCTTTGTGGAAAACAGCGAAGGAATGGAATGAAGTATTGCTAGCACAACTTACTGGATATGTATGGTACGTCGGTTGCCCCTCACAGTAGTATAAAATGGAAAGATTGACATTATCAGGACTAAGGCTAAACGGAGTTCGATCGAGACTAACATTTTTCCAGGGAGTCGGACAATGATCCTCATGAACAACAGAATTGACAACAAGCAATGAATTGTTGTTGTAAAATATATCTCTGATGATGTAAGTTTCCTCAGAAATTTTGAGTATAGGATCTTTCTCTTTGCAGGTGATCTCGAAGTTCGGATATCCGCAGAACGATTCTTGTTCTTTGAAAATCCAAAAAGGGTAGCTTATATCGGGACCGTTACCACAGCTTCGACGCATACAAGCTTCGAAGTGTGAGTCGGCGGACATGGTTCCGGGTGCCATTGCTAAGGTGATCAAGAAGATGATCATTACATAGGGAAATGATCTAAAATTTATCAGCTTTTGTGGATCCATTTGAGGAGAAAGCAAGAAGGGATAGCATGAACTAGAAATGGTATTTGAGCTTTTAATTTTTGAATCAAGTGTGATCGGATTTCGAAAAGGAAAACAAAAACAAAACAATTATTAAAGTGAAGGCAAAGATATTGCTGTTTAGTGTACAACTTCCTACCTAGATTGACTATACTACATTCAGATCAATGGTGTAGGTTTGCCTGATCTCATGCATCCATAAAAGTGAACTCTATGGGCCAATAAACTATTGTTTTTTCAAATGATTCGGTGGCTCCTACCCTTTTAATTGCTTCAATGGAAGCCAACCTATGCATGAAACCCGCTACAAATATATTTATTACGTATGCAATCGCGATAAATATAATTCGTTCAATAATAAAAATAATATAACAATATATTTTTTTTAAAAATAGATTAAACTGCTCTTTATAATTAAGTGAAAGTAGTGACATCTACTGAGACTTGAGGATGAACAAATACTCATCTTAAAATTTAATTTTTTAATGTAATTACTTATTTTATTAATTGCACGCATCTTAAAATTTTATTTATATCCACACGTATAAATTTTTTTTATACGTAACTAATTTATGTTTGTGGACATTTTTAAAAATATTTATGAAACCGTAAGTGAAATCTTATTTGACATGGAAAAAAAGAAATACCTACCCATTGCAAAATGGTGTGGAATAAGTTGAAATTAATATAAAAACAGAAATGTCTTGGTGGTTGAACAGTGAAAGAAAGGATCAGCCACGCCTCTCTATTTCCACTCGACGTGGGAACGATGGGTCTAAAGCATTGGTTCTTCAGATTTGTCAACCTAAGTAAGAAACTTGAAGATTATAGAGAAGAAAATTGGGAAGAATTAAGGGGGAAATGTTTGTTATTATTCAAGGCTGCTTTGTGAATTGTGAGGAATGACGGATTCAAAAGCTGGACATTAATGGAAGCTGCTGGTGAAACACCAGGAAATGTTTTTTGAGGTGGCCCCTCCATGGAACTAAACGTCAAACGATTGGTCATGTTAAGACCAAAAGCTTTTCTGTTATTGGCCATAAGAAAGCTAGGTGTGAAAAGAAGAAAAACTGATACCATTAATGGCCATGGAAAGTATTTATGAATCAGCTATTTCTAAGGATCACTTCTAACTAGGATGGACCCAAGAGTGCTGGGATGCGGTCGCACCCTCTAAGAATTTTAAATTCTTTGTAATTTTTATTAATTATCTAATTTCACAGCACCTAAGATTTTATAACTTCACACCCCTTAAAAATTTTAATATAACTTCTTAAATTCCCACATCATCCATGCTTTTAACAGTATCCTTTACAAGGTAATATCTATAGTTTCAAAGAAAAGTAGGGAGTAGAAATTTCCATGGGATTGAGAGAAAGGGAAAGGAAGGCAGGTGGCTGGTGAAAGATATGGTAGATGATAGCGGCTTAAGTTTCAAATGTCTAAATCTAAACGCTAATTCACCTGCAACAGAGAATTGGTCCATGACCAAGTCCAAATTCAAAATTTCACATGAATTCTTTATCTTTGTTTTTTATTATCACCAACCTCTGTGTGCCTAAATTAACTATTCAATAGAAGCTGAACTGCACTTTCCTTTAAAAACCTTTTTTTATAAAAAAAAATTACAGATTTACGCCCACATAAATCAGCTTAAATGATTAAATATTCGTTGATTTAGTGAGGTAAAGTATTAGATTTTAAAATAAGATTAAAAATTTAAATTTCGACATTATAAAATAAACTAGACTAGAAAAATTGTCTCCATCATAAATATCTAATATTTAATTTAAATTAATTAACTAATAAAATAATTAGAATGATACATACAAGTAGTATGACCTGATATATCAATAAAGCCTTATTTTTATGGTATTAGTGCTGCCAGGCCTATAATGGTCCGAAGTACAAGCCCAAGAGGTCGAATGAGGACGAATAAGACAGAAGACCTCATCCCACAAATGTTAGTAAAATTCAAATTCGTTTTTTATATATATATTTTATAATAAAATATAATAATTTAATTAATTAATATAAATATGATTTTAATAAGAAATTGTAATTACATATACAAATTTTGATTAAATTTTTTTAATGATTATTTTTTATCTCACCACAATTCACCTTACCAATATAAATATATATTCTATTATTAATTTTAATCACGACTTCAATATTCAATCTCATTATTATTTTTATTTTTATATTTATGATCAATTCAAACAAATCATCACATTCATCTCTAACTACTAAAGTAAAAAAAATAAACTATAAAGTGAAATTAGGATTTCTTGGCTCATTGCAAATTAATAATTTGTTCTTTTTATTAATCTAAGATGTTTACCCTGTAATCTTTGGTGCTCGAACTTGAAATCTCTTAGAATAACAACTATTCCCTTGACCATTAGGATAGCTTAGTTAGTGCTAATACTTTATTCTTAGACATAGAATTAGCATAACAAGTATATTATACCATGACCTAGGATTAATGTGGAATGTCAATGACCCCTAAGAAGAGTCTAAGGAAAGACAACCCTAATTTAAGGCTAGGAAAATATACGACCGAAAATGTTATAAAAGAAACATAACATTTTTAGTTGATACACCTTAAAATTCAATTTTTTTGGTTGTATATTTTCTTTTGTAACATTTTAGGTTGACAACTGTGGTAATCTTATTTTAAGTTTGGTTCATTCGCAACACGAAAAAATAAGGTACTATTTTTGAAGTTAAACTACTATCATTATACTTATTTCTTATTCAAAATAAACTAATTACATTAAAGGGATATTTTTCTTAAAGTTAATTTCTGAATAACAAAAATATAATATACGATAAATGATTAAAAATTTAACCAAACAATATGAAAAGAAATAAAATATATAAACAAATATACTATTGATTAGCACTATTCATATTCGTAATCTATCCACAAGAGCTACAACAACGCGTGGTTAGAAGATACGTGGTTTGACCCGATGACAGGCTACCATTTTGAGTTGAACAATGTAGAATGGAGCTTTGAGAGATTGTGCGTACCTGGCTTTTTGCAGACTGGGTATCGAGGTGAACTCACGTTATCGCACAGACCTTTGTGGCTGTTGCATTTCCCACAGAAAATTTCGGGAAAATTATACTCCACGTCAAATCCCAGTCTCCATCTCCCAGATCCCAAAATTTCCGGCCCTTCTCTATTGAGTTGTTGAAAATTTGTCCGATTAATCTGAACTTGGATAACTCCGCCGTGACAAGAGCGGCTAAACCGTTCATAAGAACCCCTATCTACTAAATCCGCATAGAAAGAATTTGACCCTTGGGTGCACGGGAATCGAACCCCATCGCTTGGTACTACCGATTCGTCGCAATCGTAAAAGAAAGTAAGGTTTCGGTTTGTTGGAGGGAATGAAAAGGGGTATCCCAGAGTTATGTTATGGATGCGAGGCGAAGGACAAATTCCTTCCCACAGATCGTCTCTAGCGATTGTCATTCTATAACCGGGTTGATCGACGGAAATCAATCGGAATTCATCGGCACCGATTCTTATGACGGGCTCGTCGTCTTCCTCATCGCATTTGGTCAACTCAAAGCCTTCGTTGTGACAGATTCCGGGGCTACCCTCCTTCCAAAATGGGAAGACGAAGCGCGACATGTTTCCACAACGGAAACTTTCATAACACTGCATACCTGTTGCATTTTGGGCGTATGATATTGGGAGCTGGGCGAAGAACAGTAAACTGATTGACAAGAAAGTGGAGAGGTGATGCATTTTTTGAAGTTGTGAGTGGAACAGGAGAGGGGAAGATATATAAAATTTTGGAAAATTATGTAATCTTTCAAGGATTAAAATGTAAATAAATGGACTGTTCCATTTGACCGAATAAATGAAGATTACGTAGCTTGTTTAGAAATTTCCATGGAAGACAAAAGGAAGATCTGACAGGAACAGCTGATGACTTTTGACTTGCTCCATGGTTGGTAGAAAACGCAATGCCTGGGGAAGTTACGTTGAAATTCATCTCTTCATTCAGATTAAAACCGTTTTGGGTAGACTACATATGTAGTACCTAAGTTATTGTTTTTCTGTTTTAGTACCCAAATTTTATTTCTTTTTCAAAATCATATAAATTTAGTTTAGGTTTTAATTGGTTACCCGCCGTAAAAAAATTAACAAATTGTTGATGTCATTATTTTATGGTGACACGTCAACGTACCGTTAAGTTTTTAACGACATGAGTACCGAAATGAAACCTAAACTAATGTTAGGTATGATTTTGAAAAAAAAAATCAAGTTTATATCAAAATGGTACAAAGAAATAATTTAGTACTATATGTGTAGTTTATCCTTTCAACTATCAGAACAAAAGTAACAATTTGAGTAACAAAACGGAACAAAAGTAATAGTTTTAGATCAAGTTTTGAAGAGGCCCATAATAGAGACAACCATCCAAACATAGGTTGCTCTATTCACAAACACAAGATTCGATCTTTTGACCTTATCTATGAAATTTAGTGTCTCGTCCATTAGACCAACAATTGGCTCCTAAACCTATTAGGTAAATTATACTGTTCAGCACTAAACTTTACTCTCTCTCCTATTTTGCTCACTGTACTTTCAATTTTTCTAATTTGCTCACTGAATTTACATATTGAATCATTTTGCTTACTATGTCATTAACTTTTTAATGGCGTGATGATTTGTCATTTTTTATTATTATTTAATATAAATAACTGAACATATAAAGCATAAATTACGTCATTCACTGAACTTTACTCTCTCTCATATTTGCTCACCCAACTATAAAATAAAAACATAAGGTCACCAGATGCCACCGCCGGCCACCGCCGACTGCTGTAGATGGTGGTCGTTTGGTCCCAAATTTCATAGGTTGCTTCGTCGACACCTTGAGTCTGAATCCAACCTCCATTTTGTCGGAACTTGCTTCTAAGTCCACGAATTGGAGATTGATAGTGAGGAAGCTAAATATTTCAGTAGAGAATCAATATTTTGGGACATCTTCTGGTGAACAACCACCAGATTCAGACTCAGGAGGTCAGACGAACCGACATATGAATTTTGAGACCTAAACTAAATGTTAGGTATGATTTTGAAAAAAAAAATCAAGTTTTATCAAAATGGTACAAAAGAAATAATTTAAGTACTATATGTGTAGTTTATCCTTTCAACTATCAGAACAAAAGTAACAATTTGAGTAACAAAACGGAACAAAAGTAATAGTTTTAGATCAAGTTTTGAAGAGGCCCATAATAGAGACAACCATCCAAACATAGGTTGCTCTATTCACAAACATCAAGATTCGATCTTTTGACCTTATCTATGAAATTTAGTGTCTCGTCCATTAGACCAACAATTAATTGGCTCCTAAACCTATTAGGTAAATTATACTGTTCAGCACTAAACTTTACTCTCTCTCCTATTTTGCTCACTGTACTTTCAATTTTTCTAATTTGCTCACTGAATTTTACATATTGAATCATTTTGCTTACTATGTCATTAACTTTTTAATGGCGTGATGATTTGTCATTTTTTATTATTATTTAATATAAATAATTGAACATATAAAGCATAAATTACGTCATTCCTCACTGAACTTTACTCTCTCTCATATTTTGCTCACCCAACTATAAAATAAAAACATAAGGTCACCAGATGCCACCGCCGGCCACCGCCGACTGCTGTAGATGGTGGTCGTTTGGTCCCAAATTTCATAGGTTGCTTCGTCTCGACACCTTGAGTCTGAATCCAACCTCCATTTTGTCGGAACTTGCTTCTAAGTCCACGAATTGGAGATTGATAGTGAGGAAGCTAAAATATTTCAGTAGAGAATCACATATTTTGGGACATCTTTCTGGTGAAACAACCACCAGATTCAGACTCAGGAGGTCAAGACGAACCGACATATGAATTTTGAGACTGAACAACCACCGTCAACGACGGTTAACGGTGGTCGACAATGACATCCAACCACCTTATATTTTTATTTTATAGTAGGGTGAGCAAAATAGGAGAGTGAGTAAAGTTCAGGGAGGAACAATGTAATTTATGATTAAATAATAATAATAATAAAAATGACATGTCATCACAATTTATGATTAAATAATAATAATAATAATAAAAATGACATGTCATCACAACGTTAGAGAGATAACGACAGAGTGAGCAAAACGATTCAATCTGTAAAGTTCAGTAAACAAATTTGAAAAATTAAAAATACGGTGAGCAAACCAAGAGAGAAATAAAGTTCAGTGAGGAACGGTATTATATAAGTTGATATTTATTGTTAACAACTATTTTATATTTAAAAATTCCTGATTATTTATTCTCACGCTTAGATTTTAAGTTATAATTTAATAGGCGAGTATTGACGAGAATTCAATGTATCTACTATGGCTGTAAATGAGATGAGATAGATCGCGAGATACTCGAGATCGACTCGATCAAGGCTCGATAAATACTCGGATCGAATGGACTCGACTCGAGTTCTTAACGAGCCGAAACGAGCTACTTGATATTCGACTCGAAAAGCTCGTGAGAAGCTCGAAAACATAATATATTAAGATTTTATTTTTTTAAAAATAAATTATTAATAATATTAACATTTATGTATTGATTTTTTTTAAAATACAGTAAGATTTTCATGTATTTAAGGTTCAAGTTCGAGTTTGAGGATTCAATCGAGTTAAGTTTAAGAATTTTTTTCTTCATTTCGAGCTGCTCACGAGCTTCAGTTCAAGATTTCTAGTTCGAGCCGAGCTTAAAAATTTTAAGCTCGCGAGTTTTCGAGTCGAGTCGAGCTCAACACTACTCGAGCTCTACTCGGCATCTACAATTCACATTTGTTTGGATGGGTGGTAATAAACAAACCTTTATTCTCTAACGTGTATTTCCTTCGCACGCATGAACACGTGATCACGTGCAATGCGGAACCGCCAATTGTACCACACGTAAATAAAATAAACCTGTGTCCTCTAATAGAAAGTAATTTCTTAAGAATTTAATTAGTTGGAATCATATTCCAAAATTTAGTGTATATATACACACACATCACTACTTTCATGAAAATTAAACATTGAATCGGAGGTTTGACCAAATTTTTAAACATAAATATATTCATTACGTAACAATTATTAATTAAGCTTTCTTTAGGGTTCTAGTCTTTCTACCCAATGAAATCTGTGATTTAATCACTTCATTACTTCTAATTTTATTATTTTACTATAAATTAGTTACGGACAAAATTAATACATTTTTATTGTAACATTAGAATTTAATTTTAAAAAACTAATGTAGTAACGTATAATATTTATCCGTATATTTAAATTTATTATTGGTGAATATAATCTCTAAAATTTTCTTTGTGATTAATTAGATTGTTAATGTTTTATTTAACGATATATATATATATATAGTTTAGGGTTTATATTTGGTAATCATGTCTATAACTTAGGGTTTGGAATTTAAGATTTATTGTTTAAAGTGTAAGGTCAAGTATTTAATTTTAAATTTTAAAGCTCACATAAATAGAGTTGTGTAAAGTTTACATAGTTTAAATACCAAATAATAATCCTTAAACAACTAGATAAAATGGAATAATCAATTTTAGTTGAATAATGACTACTACTCTTGATCGGTGACAAATACCATAATTTAGAGGAGAATTTGACCTAATACTTAAACCTTCAAAAGTTATAAAGGATCATGAAAGTTATTAAAATATTATAAAAATGGTCAATACAATGTTAAAATAAATGTAAAATTTTGGTAAATTTAATGAATATTGTATAATTCTTAAAACATAATGACCAAAGTGATTATTTGAACATAGTTTAATAACCTCGGAGTATTTTACCCTCTAAATTTTGCAAAGGCATTTGAGAATTTGACCTGATGACTTGGGCACTTTGGTAAACCCACATCTAAAAAAGACTAAGGGAATTTATCAGTTCACACTTTTCTTTTTCTTTTGTTTGAATATAAAACATATGTTTAGGGTGAAAAGATTATTCAATAAAAACCAACCTATGTACATGCATGACAAAGTCCTCTCGAAGGTTAACTTAACTTCCAAAAAATATTGAATATGTTAAATAATTAGTGTATTAGTTGCGATTATGATACAATAAAGATTATAATACGCTTACACCAACTAATAATATAATAACGTTTCTATATATAACACGTTAAACTAATAAATGTAATTGAATATTTAATAAATGATTATCAATGTACGAACTAACAAATAATTCATGGCATTATCAATATTGATTTATGACACTCGAGACGTACTTTGCACTATATGGGCCTGGATCACTGTTATCAAAAAGTCCTCGAACTACTCCTCGACTAACCTGCATAAGGAAACAAATTCCAAACGTTGAGCTAACTAACTCAGTGCCACACTAACAACTAAGTCATACTAAAGTGTTCATGTCATGCTCAAGCTAACTGATGATTGTAATAGTGAGTATACTCATATATTGTACTCTCTACTCTATGGTAGACATCATGGTGCGGCTGAGGGTTTGTATCTCAGAGTGCACACACTCCTCTAGTCTACCAAGGTTGGTTGCCCGAAATCTCTGCATCGGTCAACCCCCTCGACTAGCTCACTCCTTGAGTGTCGACCTTGCACCCAAGCTAGTTAGCTTTAAGTGCCTCGCACACTACCTAAGGGTATATCTGGACTAAATCTATATTTTTGATAATGCTAGTATTTTCTAAGGAACTCGGGTGTCCTAATCGTTTCCCGAGCATCATCCAAGACTATTTTTATGTCATCCTAGTTGATCTTGTTTCTAAGTATAAAATTAATATCATTAATATTCTCACTTGAAGTCTTATTTGATGATAAAATGACGTGTGGAGGTACCTCAAGTCTAATTCCCTTAAAAATGTTATTTTTGCCCAAAACATACTGAAAGTAACGATACTAGCCCTAGAGTATTGATACTTTTAAACATTTTGTTCTGCCCAGTTTCGAAATTTTCTGGGAGTTTCGAAACTATGACCCAAAGTTTCAAAACTCTTAAAAGAGTTTCGATGCTCCTACCCAAAAAACACGATTTTACCTAGAAACAAAGAACAAGTATCGATATTATCCCTATAGTACCGATACTCTACATGCATAAGTCATAAAAAAGTATGAACAACTATATATTTCAATCCCAAAGACCTTAGTGAGGTCCCCAAACATGTTTAAAATTTTATTTGATCAACAAGAGTCATAATAGAGGCTTTAAACACATTTATAACTCTAAAACAAGAATTTTACCATGAAAATGCTTATCATGCTCAACTCAAAATTTAAACTATCTTGAACTTCTAATGACTCACTAAGAGTTTAAAAGACTTGTAAAGCTAATACCTGACTCATTGGATGACTAGAAACTTTCTCAACCCACTTAAGATTCAACTTTTCTTTTCTTTTAGCTCTTAAGCTTTCTCCTATCTCATTCACTAAACAAAATGAGAAAATAGATTACTAATCCATCTAGGGGTTGAATAACATCTAAAAAAACTCCCTATAACTCAAAACCTAACTAGAATCCATGGATTCCCATAAATCTCTCAAGACCCATTTTTGGTTATATGCATAAAAACTAATGAAATAGAACTTAAAACAAAGCTTGGAGGATGAATATTGACATTTTCACCTTAGTTTCACCACACTATAGTTGAAATGCTTGAACTCTCACTTGAAATGGAAGAGGGAAGAAATAAATTATGGAATAAAGAAGAAGAGCATTTGGTGAGACGATAAGAGGGAGTGGTTAACGTAAAAACATAATATATGGGAGGGTTTTCACCTTTCAAAATTAACCATGGGTAAACTACACTTTTAGTCCCCAAATTTCTAATTTACACAACACCCATAACAAACCAAAAACTTGGGCTCTAATTCAAGCCCAAAAGTAACAAACTTGGTCCATTATACTGTAAGGTCCATTTAGCTCAAACTTTGGGTCTCGGGCTGACCCAAACTACTAACCTGAGTTTCAAGGTGTTACAATTCTCCCCTTATAACAAGAAATTTTATCCTCGAAATTTACCTAGATAGAAAATATGCGGATACTAGAGCTTCATATATTCCTCTGTTTCCTAAGTAGCTTCCTTGACCCCGTGATTTATCCAAAGTACTTTTACTAAAGGAATCTTATTGTTTCTCAACTCTTTCACTTCTCTGGCTAGGATTCTAATCGGTCCATCCTCATAAGACATGTCGGGGGTTAACTTAACTTGCTCTAAGGATAAGACATGAGATGGGTCAGAACGATATCTTCTAAGCATGGACACATGAAACACATTATGAATGCGCTCTAGCTCTGGGGGTAAGGATGAATGATAAGTGACCGACCCTACACTCTCAAGTACTCATAAGGACTAATGAAACGAGGAGTTAATTTTTCTTTGTGTCCAAACCGAAGTATTTTCTTTCATGGGGACACCTTAAAGAATACCTTGTCTCCTACTTTGAACTCGATTTCCTTGTGTTTCATATATGCATACGATCTTTACCTATTTGAAGCATCGCTAAGCCTGCTATGAATTACCTTGGCATTTTCTTCAGTATCTCGGATCAGATATGGTCCCACTATTTTCCCTTCACTAACCTCAGTCCAGCAAAGAGCAGTTCTACATTTGCATCCATACAGAGAGTCTGTATGCTCGACTGTTAACTGTTGTTATACGCGAACTCCATCAATGGTAGGTGATCTTCCCAACTACCCTCAAGATCTATAATAATACATCTAAGCATATCCTTAAGAATTTGAATAACGTGCTCTGACTGACCGTCTGTCTGAAGGTGAAATGTGGTGCTGAAATGAAGCTTGATACCTAGGGAACTGTGAAGAGCTTCCCAAAATTGAGAAGTCAATCTAGTGTCTCTATCTGAGATAATCGAAGTCAGGACTCCATACAACCTCACTATCTTGCGAATATAGAGTTGTGCTAGACTCTCAAAGGTAAAGTTCATTCTAACTAGTAAAAAGTGAGTAGACTTGGTCAACCAATCTACTATCACCCACATATCAGCATGCTTACGTCTCATCATCGGTAATCCCATCACGAAATCTATAGTTACTTGATCCTATTTCCACTACGGTATATGAATCAGCTGGAGTAACCCTGAGGGAGCATGATGTTCCACCTTAACATGTTGGCACACCAATCACTTTGCTAAAAACTCATAAACCTTTCTTTTCATTCCTGGCCAAAATTACAACGGTCGAAACTCTTGTTACATCTTATTGCTACCAAGATAGACAGAAAATGGACTACAATGGGCTTCATGAAGGATATTTCTATGCAACTGCTTAACATTATGCACACATAACTGACCTCTAAAATACAATACGTTACTATCTCGCATTTTGAACCCTGGGGCCTTGCCTTGGTGGACTTACTCCACGTGAGCTCTTACACTACTATCAGAACTTTGAAGTTTCTTGACTTCACTCACTAGCTTGGGTTCTACTTTAAGTTCAGCTAATAAGCCTTCATCTCTGGATATACTCAGGCGTGCTAACAAGGCTCTAATCTCTAACATTGACTTTCCGCTGAGCGCATCAGCCACAACGTTCACTTTTTCAAGGTGATAATCGATAACATAGTCATAATCTTTAAACTTTTGTGATCTGTGAAGATATTCCATTTTTACCCAAACAAGTAATGCCTCCAAATCTTGAACGCTAAAACAATTGTTGTAAGGTCTAAATCGTGGGTGGAGTAATTCCGCTCGTGAGGCTTGAGCTGACGAGATGCATACACTACTATCTTTCCATATTGTATCAAAACACATTCCAAACCGTTTAACGAAGCATCACTATATATGATAAACTCTTTTCCCGACGTAGACTGGGTTAAGACTGGGGCTTAGGTCAATAAGGTCTTCAATTGCTCGAAACTATACTGTTGTTTCTCACCCTACACAAATGGTACACCTTTCTAAAAACAACTTTATCATCGAGGCGGCTATCATCGAAAAGCCCTTTACGAAGTGATGATAATAGCTTGCAAGACCTAAGAAACTACGTACTTCGATTACGTTCTTGGGTAGCTCACACTCAAGAACTGCTTTAACTTTTTCAGGATCAAATCTGATGTCATTCTCTGTAATTGCATGCCCTAAAAATGAAACCTCGGATAACCAGAACTTGTACTTGCAAAACATGGCAAACAACTATCAGTCTCGAAGGTTCTAAAGAACTATGTGGATGTGTCGATCATGCTTATCCTCTGAACGAGAATACACCAAAATATATTTTATGAAAACCACAACAAACTGATCCAAGTACGAGTGAAAAATCGATTCATGAGATCCATGAATATCACCAGGGCGTTGGTGAGTCCAAAAGACATTACCAGGAACTCATAATAACCGTATCTTGTCCTAAATATCATTTTCGCTATGTCCGTTTCTTTAACCTTCAACTAGTAGTACCTAGATCTTAGGTCTATTTTAAAGAAGACACACACTCCCCTGAGGTGGTTAAAGAGGTCATTAATTATGGGTAAGGGAAAATAGTTATTGATGGTCAGTTTATTCAATTGTCGATAATTGATGCAAAACCTCATCAACCTGTCTTTCTTCTTAACGAAGAGAACTGACGCTCCCCATGGATAGATACTTGGAATGATGAAACCCTTTTCTAGCAACTCCAAAATTTGAACCTTTAACTCTTTTAGTTCATTATGTATCATACGATAGGGGAAATGAACAGCAGAGTGACCCTGACATTACCTCAATCTCTAACTCTAACTTTCGATCTGGTAGTAACCCTGGTAACTTCTCAGGAAAAAATCTGGAAAATCTCTGACAGTTTTGATGTCCTCAATTCGCGGAAATACTATCTTGAGTCAACTACATGAGCCAAAAAGGCTTCATAACCCTAATCAAGTATCATTTAAGCTTTAAGGGATGAAACAACCCTTACACCCATTGACTTTTTGCCAAACATCATAATCCTAGTCCCATCCTCTTTGTTGAGCTTAAGTCGTCGAATCTTACACCTCTAACTCGCATCGTGCTCTGACAGCCAATTCATACCCAAAATTAAATCAAACTCTCTGAATGGAAACTCCATAAGATTAGCTGAAAATATTTCACCTTGAATCTCAACATGGCATCTACGGTGAACCTTATCCATTATGACATATAATCCTAAAGAACTAGATACTCTAAACCTTATCACGAGGTTCTCAGTTGGATATTTCTCTCTTGAACTAGGTAATAATAAATATATGAATGGTTGGATCTTGGGTTGATTAATATAGTAAGTGGAAGATAAAACACTGTAAATGTGCCTGAAATTACATCAGTGGTGTTGCAATCCTCTTGGTTTCAGACTGCATACTGACGAGCAACAAATTTGGGCTCTACACTGGCTCCAGATTGGCCCGCACCCCTACTGATCTAGTCGGATGTTGAGCTACCACCCATATGGAAACCTCTACCCATTTGAACTGATGGGGTCGACCTCTACGTCTAACCTAGTATCACAACTGTAGCATCTGGGCACTCTCTGATAAAATAGTTTAAAAATCACATCTATAGTAACTTGGGGACCCCTGACGGTACACCCCTGCTTACCTCCGGCTGTAAACTGAACTGACTGACTGAGACTGTGCCTTTGATGAACCTCCTAAGTTCGCTACAGAGGTAGTGATGAAATGTCTCTTGCATTGACCAGATCTACCACCTCTTTTGCTCACATGATGAGTTGGTCTACTAGACTAGCTTTGTGAAGCTCTCCAAGAACTCTGAGAGTGTCGCACTCTCTTGGATGATTGTGATGGTCTAGATGACTCTACAGCTCCCCTGCCCTGCCCGGAAGTAGCACTTGCAACTGCAGTTCCTCTCCCCTAGCATCCTCTCTAAGGCCTTGGTTTGGCGAACCAACTCGGTAAAATATATAGGGGTATTGACGGATAGATGGGTGAGGATATCCTGACGGAGGCCCTTTATGAACTTCCTACATCGAAAGTGCTCTAAAGACACTAACTTTGGTGCTCACCGACTGAGTCAAAGGAAATCTACCTCGTACTCAAACACATAATGGTCTCCCTATGTCAACTGCAAAAAATGATCTCTAAGATCATCCATGTGAGCCTTACTTATATACTTATGGCGAAATTCTACTAAATATTACTCTCAAGTAGGTCTTTCAAGCTCCATGGACATCTCGACTATATCCCACAAATCTATTGTGTCACCATTCAACAAGGATGTGACACACTCGAGCATACACTCAGGAGTGAGGTGTAGCTGATGAAGGGTCCTCTAAGTCTCCCTCAACTACTGATCAAACACTATTGGGTCATCATCTCCTGATCTATGAAAGTCTGTGGTCCAATACCTTCTGAGTCTCTCGACAGGGGACTCTTGAGGTGCTACAAAAGGTGGGGCTACTGGAGTTATGGGTAAGGCTCTGGCTATATGCCTCAGTGTAGCAGTCATCTCTCTAAAGAAAGTTACCTCCTCAACTCTCGCATCCCCGGGCTCCTCAAAATTTGTCTCAAGAATAAAATCATCACCGATATCGTCCATGAGGGAAGATCTACTCTCATTTCTACACTCCTGACTCTGACCTGGACTCTCCTCTATAATAAACTCTGAAAATTTAAAAAATAAGAGGAGTTATTATCACTATTTCAAAAACAGAAGTATTTTTTTACATCATTAAAGACATGAATACTCATAAAATTTTATTAACTCTAACCTTCATGTCCTCAAAATATCTAAACATGATGCTCTGATACCACTAAATGTAACACCCTAAACTAGTAGACACACATTCGACTGATCAGAATGCTACACGGAACCACCGGAGTGGCTAACCAAAATTTTCTTTTAATTTTTTTCGTTTTAAAAATGACCATTTGTAACCACTCGTGCTAAAATAAATCAACCATAATTTAAATAAAATTGTTTACATTAGGAGCTCCCAAAATAATTTTTAAATCATATAGACCATAATTTAAAATGAGTTACGAATCATACAAAAATATACAAATCGAGGTTTATAATTATACATGCCCTCTAAAGATGAACTCGAGACATACTCTGCACTATCTGGGTCTAGATCACTACTGTCAAAATTCCTCATACTACTCCTCGACTAACCTACACAAGGAAACAAATTTCAAACACTGAGCTAACTAGCCCAGTGTCACATTAACAACTAAGCCATACTAAAAGTGTTCATGTCATGTTCAAGCAAACTGATAACTATAATAGTGAATATATTCGTATATTGAACTCTCTACTCTATGGTAGACATCAAGGTGCTACTGAGGGTTCTATATCTCAGAGCCCACACACCCCTCTAGTTTACCGAGGCTGGTTGCTTGGAATCTCTACATCAGTCAACCCCCACTGACTAGCCCACTACTTGAGTGTCGGACCTTGCACCTAAGCTAGTTAGCTTTAAGTGCCTAGCGCACTACCTAAGGTTATTTTTATGTCATCCTAATTGATCTTGTTTCTAAGTGTAATATTAATATCATTAATATTCTCACTTGTATTCTTATTTGATGATAAAATGAAGTGTTGGGGTACCTCGAGTCTAATTCCCTTAAAAACTTCCATTTTTTCCCAAAACAGACTAAAAATATCGATACTATCCCTAGAGTATTGATACTCCTACAAAAGTTTCGATACTTTATATAAGTACCGATACTTTTAAACATTCTGTTCTGCCCAGTTTTGAAACTTTTTGGGATTTTCGAAATTATGACCCAAAGTTTTGAAACTCTTGAAAGAGTTTCGAACTCCTACCCAGAAAACACGATTTTACCCAAAAACAAAGAATAAGTATTGACAGTATCCCTATAAAATCGACACTCTACCTACAGAAGTCATAAAACAAGTACAAAAAACTCTATTTTTCAATCTCAAAGACCTTAGTAAGGTCCCCAAACATGCTTAAAGTTTTATTTGATCAATAATGGTCATAATGGAGGCTTTAAACACATTTATAACTCTAAAATAACAATCTCACCATAAAAATGCTTATTATGCTCAACTCAAACATTTAAACTATATTGAACTTTTATTGACTCACTAAGAGTATAGAAGAGTTGTGTAACATCCTCAATACTGAGTTAGTAATTTAAGTGTAAGATTTTAAAATTTCAGTGACCAAAGTAAATAATTGAAAAGTTGAGAGATTTAATGGAAATATTTCTTGTAGGATGAATTAGCAAATAAGGAGAAGTTAAGAGGGCAAATGAGTCTTTTATCAAGAAAATAATTAAATATGGATATTGGGTTATTTTATAAACCCACATGGGGCTTATGTAGGAAACAAATGTTTCCAGATTTCTCTCATTTCTTCTTCCTTCTTCTTCCTTCATCTTCTTCTTCTCTCAAACGTCAAGACCCAAGCTTAAGGTAAGAATCTGAACCTTGGTTGTTTCTTTTTTTTTTGGTTTGGTAATGAAAGTTTGAATGTTATATAAGCTAAAAAGAAAGCCTAAATGGCATTAAAACAACAAGATAAATGTTTTAGAGATATATTTGAAAAATGGGTTTTTAGATGAAATTTTGATGTGGATGAGTTTTTGAAGTTTGAATAAGATTTTTGACTTGTCAAGGGGTTAATTAAGAAGTTATAAGTGTTAGAATTAATTTTGGATAACAAGGAAAATTGGGTATGATTCTTAGCTTTAAGAATTTGAATGAACTATGGGAGATTCTAAAGTGTTGAAATGATAGAAGTTAATTAAAATGGTTATAGTTAAGTTGGGTGGTATGAAAGGAACTTTGTATGAGAAAATTTAGTGAAGAGTTGATGATTTTCAGGTTTGAACAGTAAATTCTGGGTTTTTACAGATTATGCAGGGGGAACCGATTCCCTATGGGGAGGGTATCGATACCCCCTAAAGTAAAAGTGAATTTTGGTTCATTAAATTAGTTTAAGCTATTAGTATCAAGTTATAAGGTTTAGGCTTTTGATAATTGTCTCAAAAATTATGTTTATATAGATATCGAGCCTAAACAAGTTCAGGAACAAGTGACAAGTAATAATGATCGAAGGATTAGAAACGATTGATAAATAAATAAGTTCTAGAATTGGTTCAAATCCAGCAAGCCTAAGGTGAGTGCACATATTAGATAGAATTGTATGGAGATAAGACTTGCGATAAGTCTATCTCTTATAGTTGAATTCATGATTTCATATTCATATACATGCATTCATACATAGCTATTGAATACAGTGATTTCTTGCATAATTCGTTTATGCATTAATATGAT